TTATTTATATTATGGGCTTGGTGTTAAAATCGACAAGAAGCAGATTAAGGAACTTTATAAGAAAGTAGCTGATAATGATAATACTGATGCACAGGTCTGATATGTGGTTTTATTGCTTTCTAATCTTAAAAAAGATAATAATGAAACAATAAAAGAGAAAAATCATAGTAAAATTCTGCATTATCTAAAATTAGCAGCTAAATAATAAATATATTAATACTTTGTATTATTTGGATGATATTTATATGCATAGAAAGCTTAAAGTTCAGAAAAATAAAGATCTTGGATTAGAGTATTTAAGATTCGCTACCAATGAAAAGCATTCAATAGCAATTAATTTATTGGAGAATTAAGTAAAAAAATTTAGAGTGTCCAAAAGTGTCTAGAGTATATTTAAGCTTTAATAATTAATAAATTTGTTTAAAATATATATAACTATATATTTTTTTAGGTGCTGAACATATTTTACTTAGAAAGTAATATAGATTATCTTAATAAAATTTTGAGTAATTTTAATTTATTTAATTGTTCAAAATTGTCCAAATTGTCCAAACTCACTGTCCACAACTGTTCTGTGACAATACTGCTATAAGTAATTTGATAACTAATAAAGTTAATACTATTTATTTTAATTTTACAAGCTTGTAAAGTTATGCAAATATTATCTTAAATTATTAACTAGACATTTGAATTGTTTAAAGGAAGTTAAAATAGAGTATGCTATATTATATTGTAGTGAAATTTTCAAATTTTTATCAACATCATATTATAAGTTATAGTAAAATAGATAAAAATTTGTATTAATGATTATAAGAAATTGCTTTGTGTTGATTTTGTAGCCTTTATATATTTGTTATTTGTAGTGTTATTAGTAGAGATTTTTATACACTTCAGATTATGTATAAAATTCTTCTATATCACAATTAAGTAGCTAACTTATTGCTTACTTTTGTTTAATTTATTTTACTTTTATTTATTTTATTTAACTATTCAATATTGCTTCTCATTACAATACATTCTATATTAATATTATTTATTTATCATTTTACCTATCACTAGTATGATATGGTGTCTACTATATGTAATTAAGTTTCTATTAGAATTATTGTGATTTCTAATAAATATATTATAGATAGGTTTGAGTTAATTTGCATTAAAATTGATATAATTTTATTATGAGTTACTGAAAAAATATTGCTACACAGCTTACTTGCTATTTTAGTAACCATATATATGGTTAAGGTGAATTAGTTTGCATCAAAATAATCATATAATATGACTCCATTTCTTTGTTTTAGCAATTTTATTGCAAAATTAATTTTTATATATATGCTTAATTAACCTTACAACCTTGTATAAATTTCTAAATTAATCTAATACAATAAATTACTACTCAGAAATGTGAAAAAATGTTTGTTTAAACTTGTTCTTGTTTGAAAGAACTTCTTGTTCAAATTGTTCTTGTCTCGAGAATTTAGTTAAAAGATTAAATTGATCACTTTTTTAAATTAAATACAAATTAAACAAAGAAATAGAGCTAAATTATGTATAATAAGTAGTTATTTCTAATTAGAATCTTGCTAAATATTATGCATATCAATCTACTAGTTTATTTTAAAATATTTGGAGGAAGATAGAAAGTACCATATTTTATAATTTAACTATAAAAACTTTTGAAGAATTACAATTTAGATTTCATCTTATACATTTAACCAATAAGTTGTATCATTATTTAATTCATAAACTTTAGTCTCTATCACATAGATAGGTGACTTGCGCAATTTTTTTAAATCAAAAAAACTGATTTTATATAATTTTAAACTATAGATATGATCTATAAACTATTAGTTAGTATAGATAAACTTTAGTTTATTATAAAACTGTAGTTTTAAAATAAACTACAGTTTATTTATATGTACTGTAATTTACAGTTCACATTTTTACTTCAAACTGATAAAGTAAAGGGTTTAAAGTTGGTAGCTAAAAATAGAATGATACAGCTATTATATTATATGAAAAGAATAAGATTAACTATAAGTAAAAAATTAGCATATTTATATATAAAGAATAAAACTATGAAGTAATCTAAACAGTTATACCTCTTTATAATTATATTTTTAATGATAAGCCAGATATCACAGATTTGGTAGATATTTTGTTTTCTATAAATACATACTCTTTTTAAGTATATATATTTTATTTTTTTTTCTATAGTTCTAAGAAAAACAAGAAACAAAATATCAAGATCTCACAGAAGCAAAAACACTAAACAAGATTCAAGAAGAAACAACTAAAAATCTTATTAACAACTCTAGCAAAATAGTTGATAGAAGTAATATACCAAGCAAGCATCAAAGACTTACAGATTAATAACAAAATTTGAAAAAAGAAGAAGAAAGATTTGCTTGTAAAATACTTTACAGAATTTTTAATTTTTTTAAAATATAATTATAATAAAATTATAATATAACTAATATATATTTATTATATAATTTAAAAATTTATATAATAAAAATATTATAATAATATTTTTAAGAAAATATTTAATTATTACCGGGAGATATTGATATCTGAAGTGCTATATCTCAAAAAATAGACTAAGAAATAGGGTCTAGCATACTAAGTAAAAATGTTCATAGTACCCAAAACCTTGTATTACCTAAATTTGGACTATTATATCTGTTCTTATTTTGGCGTACTGCACCCTAACCCTAAATTTTAATAAAAACTATTATATCTTAAAAAACTAACTAAGAAACAGAATTAGACGTACTAAGTAAAAATGTTTGGAACCCCCAAAACTTTGTATAATTTAAAATTTGGACTATTATATCTGACCTCTATTTTTGTATTAAACTGCACTCTAACCCTAAATTTTAGCAAAAAACTATTTTTTCATAATAAAATTGGGGACAGATATCAATATTTCCTGATGTTATTAAGTAAAAAATATATTTTTAAAATATAATTATTATATTAATGTTTTTAATATAAAATTATTATTATATAATAATAATATAAATAATATATATTTAATATATTATTAATAATATAATATTATAAAAATATTATAAAAATATTTTAATTATATATATTTTTAAATAGTTAAATTTATTTAAAATTAATAATAAATAAAATATAAATATAATATAATAAGAATAAATATATACATCATACTATGCGATGCACTTGTATATTGCACCTTAATATAAACAATAAAGTTAATTGCAAATCTGCAAAATATAATATCACATCAAATCAATTTTTATATATAGGTTAAGATTGATAGTTAGAGATTAGAGTAGAGCATAGTTTATTGTAAAATTTTGCAAGGAATTTTTTTTATTAGAATATAAAAGTTGTTTCATAAGCAAAATTTTAAGATATTATCAACTTCTTAAAAAACCAAAAAATTTAACATTATATTTGATCTTTATATTATATTACAAATATACAATTTAATTGGTAGATCATTAAAGTACGATATATAAATACATTATATAATATAATGCCTAGCTAAATCTATATAATAATAATATTTTTATAATATAATTATTATATTATTAGAGTTTGGATCTTGTAGCTTATTGGTTAAGCTCTCAAACCCTACAGACAAGATCAATAGTTCAAGTCGAGCTAGAGCCAAATTGAATAATTTGTTTCTGTAATCTTGGGAGCTATAATTAAACGTAAAGCTCTGTAGCTAAGTCCAAGTATAGGCATGAAGCTAGAATAAGAATTTTTGAAAGAAAACCTAAATATAGAGCATTGGCACTATGTGTAACTGCAGTATTACAGAAGACTGCAGCTATGAAGATTGTATAAATAAGTCCTTCAAAGATGGGTCAGCACCAATATCCTTGTATTTTTAGGTTCAGCAATATTAACATCTCTATACTCAACTTGTGGGATACTTTCTTGGAAGGGTGGTCAATAGATTATGTGAATAAGTTCTTATCTGAAAAAAAGATACAGGTACTTGCTTGAGAGAGTAATCGATATAACCAAAGTTGGAAGTAGTGAAAAAGTGGTGAACATGTGGATGGTCTGTGATAAAAGATTGACTTTACCAGAATCAGAAGCACCTCTGACAATGTAGAATGAAAATACTATAGAAGACAAAGACTATAGAAATTGTCTGATGTTCTGTATATGTATAAAGATACTAAATCAGACTCTGATCATATCTATATAGAAGTCTATGATAAATAAGTTTAGGATCTACCAACCTCTGGATTTTACAATAACAAATAGTAGTACAGCATTACTAGGTCATTGTAACTCTCTAGAAATAACTAGAATTATCCTGGTATTGTATGACAACATGCTGGAAGCAAGTATTATATAGTATTACAAGTGTAAGTAGGGTGCTGACGGCGCTCCTTTAGAGAGCATGGTTTTGATTTTATGTTTTGTCTTTGTTAGTTATGTTTCAATTTTAAGTATAATGTATTGTATTATAATTATTTATAGTATAGTTTAATTTTTATTTAATTATATAATTGTTTAGTTAGTGAACTTGTTTTGTTTTGGATTTGAAGCAAATTTTTTATTTAAAAAATATTTTTTTAAGTATTTTTATTGGTTCGATAAGGTAGATAAAATAAGCTTTTTTCAGTTTTACAAAGAAATTTAAATTAATAAAAAAAAAGTATGCTATTTTTAAAGCAATAACTAAAGGAATCAAAATAGTAAGAAAAGTTTATTTTGGAAGAGATGAAGTTTTTTTTTTTTCTCCTTTTTTTTTTTTTGTGCATTTAGTTTATAGCTTATATATTATATATTATATATATATATATATATATATATATATATAATATAATATAATATAATATAATATAATATATATTATATTTATTATATTATATTTTATATATTTTGAATTTAAGTATTTATTTTCTTCTTCCTGTTCTTACTTTTTTTGTATTTGTATTTGTTTCGTTTTTTAGATCATTGTTAGTATCGGATATTTGATTGAGATCATCGCGATCGTTATCTTGTCAGTGAGATATTTTTCTTTTATTTTGTTTTGGGTCGGTTTCGGTTTTTTCTTCTTTCTTATCGCGTTTTTTTTCAAATCGTTGTTCTTGTTTACTTTCGGTATTATTTTCATTGTAATTATATGATTTCTTTTTTTTTTCATCTGGCATTAGTTCGTTATTTTCATCTGTTAAATTTGGTTCGTTATTTTTAGTGTTGTTTTCATTAATAGTTTCGTTTTTATTTATATTGGTGAAGAAGTTTTCAAATTGATTTTGTCGGCTATTCGATCTAAGTCTGTATTAGTATGTGTAATTGTTTGGTATGGGTTTTTGGTTATATTATAACTGTTCTCTTGTCTGAAATAATCGACGTCTGTTGCCTCTACCATAGTAATATTCAATTTGACTATATGTAAGAATTTTGATATTATCATGGGCTTGTTAATTTTAAGATTAGTGCGAAGGTGGTTGAATCTATCATGTTGAGTTGGATAAAAAACTGTAATGGATATATAAATATCACGATTCTCTGTGCAGAAGTTATATTCACGAGTTTCTATTCTGAAATGTATGGTCTCTCCTGAAGTTTTTAGTTCCTATATAACAGTTGCAATAAACATTAAGTGGGGGGTATTTAGCGGAATTAATTCTGCATTAAATTCGTCTTTTGAATCTTTTTTATTAACAATTGTTGCTGAAGCAATTGTGATGAATTGGTCTGAGTTTTCTATAACGAATTTTCCCACGATAGTTACTATGTCTCCTATTGAGAAGTCATCACGCGAATCGTGGGTTGAGTTG